AATGTCTATATCTATATCTGCCTGCCTGTCTATACCCATACCCCTGTATTCCATACCAATACCCAATCATATAATAAACTAAACTATGAAAAAATAGCTACACACACATTGACCAACACTTACCCAAACACGTCTTCAACACGTCTGGAACATGTTTCCGACAACTCTCTCCTTCCCGCAGGTCGGCCCGGTGCTCTGCTTCTCCCACGGCATGGGCATCCCTTCGGTGGGCATCCTCCTTCATGAAGTGATCAAACTCATGTACCACGCCAAGTGCAAGGATCCCATTTTCTTCCGCCTGGGCACGTGTGGGGGCATTGGCATCGAAGGGGGGAACCTCGTTATTTCCGAAAGTGCGGTGGACGGGCTCATGCAGCCATTCCTCGAACTGGTGAGTTTGTCGTTGAGGGATGTTTGTTTTCGTTGTGGTCTGTGCGTATATCTTTTCTCTCTTTTTCTCTTTCCCCTTTGCCTGTCAATCTCTCTCTATCTCTGTAACTCTCTCGCTCTTTCTCACTCTATCTCGCTCTCTATCTATCTCTTTCTCTGTCCCCACCCCCTTCCTCTCCCACTCCCTTGTTTTCGATGTGGTTTGTGTATATATATATTTTCTCTCTTATTCTCTTTCCCCTTTGTCTGTCAATCTCTCTCCATCTCTATCTCTCTCTTTCTCTTTCTATCTCGCTCACTATCTGTCCCTTTCTCTATCCCCCTCCCTCTCCCTCACCTCCTTCTCCTCTCTCCCTTCCTCCCACTCCACCTCTTCCTCCCCCTCTCCTTCTCTCCCTTCCTTAACTCTTAAATAAGGCGACTTAATCCACATTTAATTCACCCTCTTTACTTTTCCCTCAACAGCCAGTCCTGGGGAAGATGCAGAGGCGACCAGCTGTTTTGGACAAGAAACTGGCAAATGAACTGAAGCAATTACGTTATGAGGACGATCCGTTTACTGCAACTGTCGGCAAAACAATGTGCACTTACGATTTTTATGAGGGTAAGTTTTTTTTCTTTTATTTCTTTCTGTCTCTCTGCCTGTCTGTCTGTCTGTCTGTCTGTCTGTCTGTCTGTCTGTCTGTCTGTCTGTCTGTCTGTCTGTCTGTCTGTCTCTCTCTCTCTCTCTCTCTCTCTCTCTCTCTCTCTCTCTCTCTCTCTCTCTCTCTCTCTCTCTCTCTCTCTCTCTCTCTCTCTCTCTCTCTCACGGTCTCTTTCTCTCTTGCCTCTGTCTCTACTCGTCGGTAAAATGAAGTTGTCATTTTGACGTTTTTACTGTGTGCCAGCAATGTATATTCTTTTTCGAACATTTTTTCCGCAGTCGAGTGTGTGTGTGTGCGCGCGTGCAAGGTCTATTATATAAGTACTTATATAGACCTTGCGCGCGCGTGCTTGCGTGCATATGTGCTTGCGTATGTATCTGAGTGCCATGACTGGCCCCTCTGTCAGTCCACCACGACATAGCTAATTGACTATACATATACAGAATATATCATACATATATTCATCTCCTACACATATTTTATTCTCATATTCTAACCCATAATCACACTCGATCTTTCATTCTGTAAACAGGTCAGGGCAGACTAGACGGTGCCTTCTGCGACTACACTGAAACGGACAAGTTAAATTTCCTGAAGCAAGTACACGCACAGAACGTCGTCAATATGGAAATGGAATCCCTCTGTTTTGCTGCCCTCTGTCATCATGCAGGGATCAAAGGCGCTGTTGTATGCGTTACTCTGCTGAATCGTCTGCATGGCGATCAGGTAAGCTTTTATTTTTACGTGTCATGCAAAAATCAGCTGATCGGCGTATATCGCGGGTTAAGACAAAGGGAGCGTTTATGTAAATCAAGGGTGGCCAATGACAAGCCTGTTTTAAGATCACACTACTGTACCTGTTAATGATTCGTCCTTCAGAAGCTATCATGCAAATAGCTGCAATAGCATATCCAAGTACTCATGATACTTGGATTATTATAATGATGTTACAGTTACATTTATGGAATGTCTTAATCTTTGGCTGGTAGATGGCATCAGGGTAACTGTAGAAAAAGTAGATCATATCTCACAAAAGCTTGGCCACGCCTGATGTAGATCATATTTGGTCTTAGGGAATTTTACTTATTGTCTTTACCTCTTATTTTTTATTTATTTTTTTTTGTTTATTAATTTTTGGATGTTGTAGAAGTTGTAGTATTTCGTACATATGCTCTGTATTAATTGAATCTCCACTCCCTTTTGCTGAAAAAAAAAATGCCATTGTAATAATTCGGACATATGCTCAATCTTAATAGAATCACCATTCCCTTTACTGTATTAAAAAACTCCATCCTCTTATATATATCTACTACTATTCAATCCCATTCATTCTTTCCTCTCTCTCCTACCTTCTATTATTTCTCCACCAACCCCATTTCACCACCACCTCTCTCCATCTCTTTCTCTCTCCACCCATCTCAGGTCGACACCCCAAAGGAAACGCTCAACAAGTGGCAAGAATATCCCCAGGTGCTGGTGGCTCGCTACATCAAGAAACAGCTTGGCCTACCCATTAACATCCCGCAACGAAATCATCCCCAGGTAGTGAAATGTCCGAGGCAGGCTAAGCTTGTCCGTGAACAGTCCGAGAGTTTTGAGTGAGATCCTACCCTGATTATCTAATGCTCACAGATCTGCATGCCTCTCTGTGATTGTATGAGTATGTGTGTGTGTGTGCATATATTTATATATATATATCTATATATATATATATATATATATATATATTTATATATATATATATATATATACAATATATACATATATATATACATACAAGACACAATATGTTGTATATATATATATATATAATTATATATATATTATATATATATATAATATATACACACACACATACACATACATATACACACATATACATACATGTATTTACACACACACACACACACACACACACACACACACAACACACACACACACACACACACACACACACACCACACACACACACACACACACACACACACACACACACACACACACACACACACACACACACACACGTGTAAAATATCATATAGCCCAAAATTTCACCGGTCTTTTTAAGGGACAGTACAAAAAAATTCAAAGGCATAACACTGCATGATAGGGAATACATTCGCGAAACTGCATGACAGAGAGACGGAGTTCAGTTACTGGAATGAGTTATTGTTCATATAGTATTTTATCCACTTGTATAATTCTTTGAAATTTGTATAAGAAAGTTTAGAAAGTTGAAAATTGCTGTATCAGTGAAACCTGTATTCACTACAACTTTTGCAATATTAACTTCTGCATAATCTGATATACAAAAGTACGAATATGAAATTGTCAACTTTATAGTTAATCATTCTGAACTTCCTTGCATTTAGAATTTTGTCTTTTGACGCAATCTCAGGTTCATCTCTAAATGCAGAAGCCTATGTTATATAGTCTAGTTTTCTACAGATTGACAATAGAGACAAAGCTAGCCATTTGTGCATAATCCTTATTTTAAGGACAGTGCATTTTCAGATATGTATTATTTTTACAGTGATTTCATTTATATCAATGAGTCCACAAATTAATGTAAGTCTGGAAACCCAATTTTTTAGGGGGAAATATAATATATGCCTAATAAGAAGAAAGAGCAATTAACTGTTCTCAAAGAGTTTGACAACTCTCTGTTCATAAGTAGATTGGTGAGGTATAAGAAAATGATCTTGGTGCCGGTATGAAAAAATTCCAGTTATTGTTCTAGTCAAAAATGCCTACCCTGCCCTTATACTGGGATGCCAAATTTTCTTTTTGCCAAAGCATTTACACCTTAATAAGAAATACAATGAATCCTAAAGCCATATATTTTCACGTCCTTCAGAACAGAGATTTTTTTTAATGTCTTTCAGAACACAGAGATTTAAAAAAAAAAAAAAATGCAGTGCCAAAAAAAAAAAAAGGAAAAAAAAAACTTGTGTGAAAGGGAGTCGATAACTATAGGCTGTTTGTGACATTCAGCTAAACAGTAGAGTAAAGCTAGCAACATGGGAGCACCTTAAGCCTACATTAGATGCTTGTAATAGACTAGCTTACATTTGCAGCTTGGGTATTTAATGCACTAGTACTTGAGACATTAAAAGTTTCTCCAAGACATAAGAACTGATGATTTGGATACAAATAGAAAGTTAATTTAATGATGAAAAGAAGAGGGCAAAGAATAGGGTCTTATTTATGGATAGCAGGATATGTAGGCCATTCAGGCTATAAAGATTTGAATTGGATTCCTTCTTACTTGGCAATGACTATTGTTGCACCTAAAATAATGTTTCCCTCATCTGTCATGTATATTTGTGATTTTTGTTCTTCTTTTTTTATTATTACATGTTGTTAAGATACTTTTAAAGAGTACAGCCCAAAAAATTCTGATTTGTATCTGATCATGTAAACAAATTTTTAGATGTTGTGAGTACGCTTCAAACATTACAAAAATAAGCTTCCATCGATTCATGTATTTGCGGACTACTTGAAACCTGTGAAAGATTCTTTTATTCCCATCTTGAATTTATTCTGAAAATTGGAGTCATTGTTTTCCAATTGTTTCATTAGTGTCATTTCCTTAACATCAATTATCTGTCACAGATTTCTAAATTGTAGTTCAAGTTATGGTGTTCCTCTTTGCTAAATTTGCAACAAAATGTTTTTTTTTTTCTTTTAATATAACGTATAAACACAATGTCTACAGATACACCAACAATATTTAAGTTATCTTAAGCACAATGTAGCCATGGGCCAATAAATGTGTAATAAATCATGTGCTATATTATTCAAGCCAATGAGGAAGATATATGCCTTATTAATGAAAATTAAACCAGCAACATACTCTAAAAGCAACATGGAAATAAAAAGTAATGATGGAGCAAAACAAAATCATTAAACCAACGATGATGTTCTCCTCTCTATTTATTCCCATCAATCATATATCATTGTGCTTTATTTTTATTTTATTTAACCATCTTTTTCCCCCCTTTTTCTAGGTTTAAAACAGGATGGGAGGAGAAAAAAAATTGCTTGGTACCCAAAGCCAGGATCATGTTAATGGAGGTGTCAAAGGCACATCAGTTTCTCAAGGAATCATGTGATACCTGGTATTGATTTCTCGCTTGGTAGCTCTTAGCTCCTCAGACCACAGGTTGCTCTTTGGATATTATCATCTGCCTATCAGTGACAAGAAATTATAAAATTCTCAGATTCTCTTTTTAACTGCAGTCTCTTTGTCAACTTCTCAGGACAAGTATATCCTTTCATTTCCATTATATTCCATTTCCTTTGTAGGTAGCTTATGATATCTCCAATTAGTTGTGCATGCTACATGCTAAATTATGAGACCCAAAATAGACAACACAATAGTTTTAAGAAGTATGGAATCAAAAGTATTGAGAAATGGTCAAAAATAGTCTTTAAAAGTGTCTTAAAATTCCAAATGTGACAATGTTTACATGTGGTCGACTTAGGTATCTCAGTGAGCTTACAGTCTGTCTTGAAAAGGCAGTGCTTAAGTTCACACCTGTACAGATCTCGTTGATGAGCAAAATCGATATGAGGATTATAAATCTCCCATTTGTTAAATTATTCTTTGTTTTCTCTTCTCTTTCTCTATTTCTTTACAAAGTACTTTTAATTCGTTTTACAAGCTAATAGTAGTGCTTCTAATTTTACAAATGATGTACAGGCAACTGTATTACCATCTAATGTGTGAGGTTTGTCAAATGACTGTTTTATGCACAGACTGTGATAGTAAAATGCTAAACTAGGGAAATCACAAACTGCCTCAAAATCATTCCATTCTGTGATGAACTGATTGCTCTTTAAACCAATAAAAACAGCTTACATACTGATTTCAGTAAATTATTTAATTTAAAATTTAACATCTTGCAGTTAAATCTACTTCTCAGATCCCTGAATGTTTCTTTCAAGGTAATTTCCCATCTAATCTGCACAATGTTTTTTGAAATTACAACCAGTAATTATGATCTATTTCATGCTTTCACAAGCAATTTCTTCTGTGATCAAAATGTATGATATTCCTCTCCTAGTGAAGCTGCTATTTTACGAATGACACTATTCAGTATAAAGACAGTGCCTAGGATAAACTAATTATTCCTCTGCTTGTATTATGCATAGTGTGTATACAGCCAGTATATGTGATCATTTGTATATAGCTTAGTATAAGCTTTTGCAAGATTCTTTACTTTTAGGATGATAATAAGGGATTAAAACATGAAAATTGTTCCAGTCATTCCACACTTTATAGTACCTTCTAGTTCTTTAGTTTTTGACCATTCTGAAATTTGTATTTTTTTTTCTACTATAAAGGTCAATTCATTTTTGTGATATCTAGAAAGTTGTTCTTTGTTCTTCATTTTTTCATAGATCTTTCAATAAATATGCTTGTGAGTGCGAATTTTGAATGTTATTGTTCTAGTCTGGTGATATATTTTATTTTTAATAAAGTCTCTTGATTCAATTTCAGTTATAATATATTATCCTTTCTACACACACTTCTAATTTATGGGAGTTATCTTTATCCTGTTTTATGAGACAAATAGCACATATTATATATAAACAAAAATGTACACTTATTTTACATAATGTTTACAAATAGGTTAAGCAATATATTTCTACTTCACACAATATCCTAATCACATTCACAAACAACAAAAGAATGCAATAGTCATTTGCAAGCATGTGCGCACACTGGAAGACACAGCAATAGTTGTCCAAATAATCAATAATTTCATCAAATACAAACAACTTGAGTTTAAATCACACTACTACGGTATACATAAAAAAAATCCCATACTGTGTGCATGTGCATTTGACTGCCATTTAAGGATTAATACCCAGTTAAAAATAACATCTGCCATTATTACTAAACCCATCTTTAGAAGGATGAAAGAATAGGCATACTAACAGAGATATAATAATTTATGAACAAAACTATGCATACTCATTTTACATTTCATAAGATTTTATGTACAGACTGTGTATTTCAGTTGTCCTTTTTAAATATCTGTTAGCAGATTGATTTATTTTATCATTCAATCACATTGGAAAAAAAGTACATCAACTGCTGATCCTGGAATGAAAAGTTATTGAGACTATTATTTACCGGATATATGTTAGAATTACTTGTCCTGAAATAAATCCTTTGGCATATATTCAGTCCCAGATAAAATTAAATTATTATATACATTAACATTACCAGACAGAAAAGACCTACCAAAACTCTCTTATTTTCTTCAGAATCCCTTACTGATCAAAAATTCCTTTACTTCAAGCAAGTATTCTCCTTTTATCTGTATCATTCGGTGTGGCTCGTGGACCCGTAAGTTGATGTGTTTGGGTGCGAACTTCTCCGAGAGGTACTGCCGAAGCTCTTCTCCGAGGGCGAATGCATCACCTTCTACTTTTTTCACAGAGGTTGTGAACCTGCCAAAAGGTCATATGTTCAATGGTCGGAAATTTTAACTAGCCTAAGCTTTGGTTACCAGCTCATGTATGGTATACCAGCAGATATTAACATCAAACTTCTTTTACTACTGAACCAACTAACCCATCAGTCACCCCCAAACCACAAACACACACACACACCCATACACACATGAATGTGTATACAAATGAGCATGTAGACACACAGACCAACACACACATGTAAACATGCACACATGTACATGGACACGCACAAAAGCTCAAAAGTAACAAACTAAAATTCCTATAAAAGAAAACATGCACAAAAGCAACAAAAATAAAAATAAAAGAGAACAAAACAAAACAGCATAAAAAAGAGGAAAAAGAAAAGGAAGAAGAAGAAAAAAAATATATACATACATACATCTCTAAATGTAACCTTTCTTACCTTGACATGATAGGCTCGTGCTTGACATAAACAGGTAGCATGTGGCTGGCAGAACGTGGGACAAAGTACGGATAATCCCCAGGAACTGCGGATGGAGCTACCCAGCCAGACGGAGTAACCTCGCCTGTGTAGAGACATCGTAAAAGTGCCAAACTTATGTAATTGAAATGGCTAATAATAATGCTAATACTGCACTAAAAACCAATATCCATATTTCTTCTCTTTTTCTGCATACAAAATATGATTGCCAACAGAAAATATATAAATAAATAAATAACAACTATACCAACAATAACATCTACAAAAATCTTGAAAATGAAAGCTTTTGAAGTATTTCTGTTAAACATCGGAGAACATGACTATAGAAAAAAAAATTGAAAGTGTGTGTGGCATAGGAGGGGGGAAGATCATGCTTAAGGGTCTGTGTCAGGGTCTGTGTCTGTGCCCGGTTCTGGGTCTGGGACTGAGTCTGAGTCTGAGTCTGTGCTGGATCTGGGTCTAGGACTGAGGCTGGGCCTGTGCCTGGGTCTGGGTCTGGGACTGGGTCTGGGTCTGAGTGTGAGTATGAGTCTGTGTATGGATCTGAGTCTGTGCTGGATCTGGGTCTAGGACTGAGGCTGGGTATGTGCCTGGGTCTGGGACTGAGTCTGGGTCTGAGTGTGAGTGTGAGTGTGAGTGTGAGTATGAGTATGAGTATGAGTATGAGTCTGAGTCTGAGTCTGAGTCTGAGTCTGGATCTGAGTCTGTGCTGGATCTGGGTCTAGGATTGAGGCTGGGTCTGTGCCTGGTTCTGGTTCTGAGACTGAGTATGAGTCTGGGTCTGAGTTTGAACCTGAGTCTGGGTCTGGGTCTGAGCCTGGATCTGGGTCTTGGTCTGGTTCTGTGCCTGGATCTGGGTCTTGGTCTGGTTCTGTGCCTGGATCTGCGTCTGAGTCTGGGTCTTGGTCTGGTTCTGTGCCTGGATCTGAGCCTGAGTCTGGGTCTTGGTCTGGTTCTGTGCCTGGATCTGGGTCTGCATCTGAGTCTAGGTCTTGGTCTAGTTCTGTGCCTGGATCTGAGCCTGAGTCTGGGTCTGGTTCTGTGCCTGGATCTGGGTCTTGGTCTGGTTCTGTGCCTGGATCTGGGTCTTGGTCTGGTTCTGTGCCTGGATCTGGGTCTTGGTCTGGTTCTGTGCCTGGATCTGGGTTGGCATCTGAGTCTGGGTCTTGGTCTGGTTCTGTGCCTGGATCTGAGCCTGAGTCTAGGTCTGGTTCTGTGCCTGGATCTGCATCTGAGTCTGGGTCTTGGTCTGGTTCTGTGCCTGGATCTAGGTCTGGGTCTGGTTCTGTGCCTGGATCTGCATCTGAGTCTGGGTCTTGGTCTGGTTCTGTGCCTGGATCTGGGTCTTGGTCTGGTTCTGTGCCTGGATCTGCGTCTGAGTCTGGGTCTTGGTCTGGTTCTGTGCCTGGATCTGCGTCTGAGTCTGGGTCTTGGTCTGGTTCTGTGCCTGGATCTGCGTCTGAGTCTGGGTCTTGGTCTGGTTCTGTGCCTATATCTGGGTCTTGGTCTGGTTCTGTGCCTGGATCTGAGCCTGAGTCTGGGTCTTGGTCTGGTTCTGTGCCTGGATCTAGGTCTGGGTCTGGTTCTGTGCCTGGATCTGCATCTGAGTCTGGGTCTTGGTCTGGTTCTCTGTGCCTGGATCTGGGTCTTGGTCTGGTTCTGTGCCTGGATCTGCATCTGAGTCTGGGTCTTGGTCTGGTTCTGTGCCTGGATCTGGGTCTGGGTCTGGTTCTGTGCCTGGATCTGGGTCTGGGTCTGGTTCTGTGCCTGGATCTGGGTCTGGTTCTGTGCCTGGATCTGCGTCTGAGTCTTGGTCTTGGTCTGGTTCTGTGCCTGGATCTGTGTCTGTGTCTGAGTCTGGGTCTTGGTCTGGTTCTGTGCCTGGATCTGAGCCTGAGTCTGGGTCTTGGTCTGGTTCTGTGCCTGGATTTGGTTCTGAGCTTGAATCTGGGTCTTGGTCTGGTTCTGTGCCTGGATCTGGGTCTGAGCCTGAGTCTGGGTGTGGGTTGAGTTTGTATGTGGGTCTGAGTCTGTG